AACCAACGGAGTACAAGGAGTTGGACGAGGAGGTGAATTGCTAGATTGAAGGGACAGGCAAGTTCAGAAGCGAGAGGGCACTTGCAGAGGTGGACAACGGCCAACCAGCCAGATGGTGGAGAAAGTGGTGCGCTGAGTTGCCGAACTTGCAACGCCAGGCAGTCCGTTTGCTTGGACAGGGGTCGTCTGCTTCCGGTTGTGAGCGGAATTGGAGTCTTTCGAAAGGATTCACTCCAAACCGAGCAACAGCCTCACCGTCGAACAATTGAGCACATTGGTATACAACAGATGGAACCAGCATCTGTTGGACAAGCTTGAGAAGAAGCCGGTTGAAAAGGAAGACCCGAAGAAGAAGCCTTGGAGGGATGGGGTCGGGGACTTGACAGCACAGCAATTGTGCGAGGACGCAAAGAAGAGGGTGCAGGAGTGGAGAGCCAAGCTGCGTGGCGATAGGGAGGAGGCGGAGGATTGTGAGGATGAAGATGACGACGACGATGATGGCGCCCGTGATAACGTGGCCAAGGCAAGCACCATTGCACGCCCGCGGGCCACCAGCAGCTTGCTTGAGCTCGAAAGGGAGCTTAACAAGGAGCTACCTTCATGGAGGAAGGCCGTACGGCCTTCCAAGTACCTCGCCCGCTTGCATTTGCAGGAATCTCAGCATGCAGGCAAGACTATGACAACCGAGCACGCAGAGAAGTATATCAATGCAAGAGCTCAAGCGTGCGCACCCAATGTGAAGGCGCCTGCAAAGAGGGGGCGACCACGTAAGGTGGCACATGTGCAGGGCACGGAGGCAGACGGGGAGCAGGCGCCCAGAGATGCAGAGGCATCCAAGCGGGGGAGCAAACAGGATGCTGCTCTCGAGGTTGCAGCAAAGGGGCCTGGGAAAAGATCCAGGGGGCGACCAAGGAAGGTGCTGCAGGAAGAGGAGGTGCAGGTGGACGCAAGGGAGACTGGGGAAGAGGGGGAATCGTCTCAGAAGGACAGCACCGAAGTGGAAGACGAGGAGAGATTGAAAGAGGGGGAGGAATGGAGCACAAAAGAATCTTCAGAATCATCAGAATCATCAGGTGCTGATTCTGAAGCTGATTCTGAAGAAGAGCCCCTTGCTAAAAAAAAGCGCAGAGAGTAGAGAGAGAGAGAGAGAGAGAGAGAGAGAGAGAGAGTAACTTGAGTAAGTTATGTGAACACATTTTGCTATGGACTCGTATGGAGTATGGACGTCTTTTGGACTGTTCTCTGCAGTTCTGTGAGAAGTCACAGAAGTGATGTTTTTGAATGTTTTTGTAGTTCTGCTTGTATGTTGTTGTCACTTGTTGAACTGTGTGGTTGCAGGTACCATGTCAAAGCGGCTTGGAGGTATGTATGTTTTTGAAGTTCGTTTCTTAACTTTCTTAAAGTTCTTTTATTGATTTCAATTTATTTTTTTATTTTTTTTTGTTTGTTGATCAGCTTCGTCTGTTATTGAACCTTGAAGGCGCCCAAGTTCTATGTAAGCCGCGATGGCAAATGCATCAGGAGAGGGGGGGGGGGGGAATCCGATTTTTTTTTTCCGGACCTCACCATGCATCCGGACCGTCTGGACCCACTCATATCCGGTGTCCGGATCATGTCCGGATTTCCGGACACGTGTCCGGTTTGGTGTCCGGAAATGTCCGGGTCCGGGTCCGGGTCCGTCGTAGCCATGCTTGGAACACAATTAAAAAAAAGGCCAATCAGAATCAGCTTGTTACAGCGACAGTAATCAAGACTAGAAAGTTGAAATTACAGACAAAGATTTTTCAAATGGAAAATTTCTTCAAAAGCATACTTTTGGAAATTGAAAATTGAAACAAAATAGGGAATCAACTCTGATGTCCGAAAGGACTTTCGACTCTGATTTCCAGAACCCCAAGGTTCAAGGAAACGTTCAGACCGTAGATCAGGAAACACCAAGTAGGAGCAAACGAAACAATTCTAAAACCAGACGCAAAATCAACAAAAAAATTACGAGCTACCGATCAAGATCAACTAAAAAATCGGAAATGCCATCCATTGATCCAAAGTTCCAAACATGTCAAAACTGGACACGTGACGTAACCTAAAGCACATAGGGTTTATCTTCGAGCCAGTTCAGTTGAGGTTCCCACCCTTTCTATTCTCTATCTACCAGGCGAGTGAACTGCAATGATTCTGTGCCTAATAGACGGGAGTTGTGGCCATAAGAGTGTTTTCACATAGAACTGTGTTCACTAATGATACTGTTCCTAAAGGACGGGTAGAACTGTGTTCACTAATGATCCTGTTCCTAAAGGGCGGGAGCTGTGGCCATAAAAGTGCACTTTTCACTTTGTTTTCTTTTCTTTCCCCCAGAAAAGTCTGTTCACTTTGATAAGCGCAGGGTTGTATTTCTGCCACTGGCGGATGGTGGAGGGATGTTGCATGGAGTATGGCCAACCGGTCACACCTTACAAATGGTGGCACATACGGAAGGATGGTTGGGAGGCACATGTGGGGAGAGTCAGTCGCATGCAGGGATTCTCGGCATGGTATGGACTGTGGGCTGGCACATCTGATGCAAACACGACAGCAGTACGATGGACCACCAGATGCAACGACGACGACATCCACATCAACAAAGACAACAACAACTACAATGGCATCAACAACAGCAATACCAATGACGGCGAGGACAACGACTTCAGTAAGCTGGAGGAGAATTAAGGAGAAGAATGGGTGGCATGGCTGTGGAGCACCTGGCCCGACTGACAAACCAACCCTTTGCCAGAGACTCGATGAACAAGCAAGTTCCTATCACGTAATATCAACAAATTGCGACAGCATGAACTGTGAATGGTGCATCCCTGCAGATTCAAAGATGGAAGAAAGGAGAAGATGGGAGAAAGGAGAAAAGGAGCTACTAGTCAGGGCTATGCCATCCTCCAGGCCCAACTTTCCATTGTGTCCTTTGTTGCAGAGGCATATTGCACTTATTGCTAACAGAACGTTGCCCCTGTCGACCAACAGGAAATACAATACATGGCTGGCAGTGCATCTGTCGCATCATCTTTGCACCATACTCTTAATAGGATGAGCGATAGAACAGAGGATGTGTGAGAATATCACCAACCGACACAGTAGTCAGTTGATCCTCTAGCATCACGCTTTTCCGCAATCAATTTGCGCGTGGAATGTACGCTGGTTCTCATTGCAGATACTACGGTCTTCCTCTGAATAGAGTGCACGCCGCATGATCATTATCACTGTATCTCGACAGAAAGTTGCCCCAAATGCCGCTATAACGACCAATTTTTTTGGGTTAACAGAAACCTGTCAGAAATGTTATTGGCTCTCCAGCCTCTCCTGGTACAGGTTTCTTCATCAATTATTTTCAAGAAAGAAGCTTACCCATCTTGTCCCATACTTGTCTTTCTTCAGGACGTGACAACACAGAAATGTTAGAATGAGCAGTGAATAACATCCTCTTGCTTCACCTTCCTCACATATGGAAAATGATTCTTTGAGAGGGCTTCGCACTTCACTACTCCTTTTACTCCACCCAGGTTTGACAGGCACAGTAAAATAGATGATCGGCCATTGCAGACTCCGAATATAAAAACCCGTTTCGAACTTTCGATTCTTTCGAATGCCGAGAAGTTGAGAATGGAGGTCTGTGGATTCTTGCGTACTGCACCAAAGTCAACGACTAGATGCTCAGACCATCTATCACCCAGTGCAGAGGTCTACCGCTGCCTATCTAGGCCTAATGCTGTACCCCAATTTTATGGTGTATTCACTGTATTGTAATTGATTTGTCCTTCCATGAAACATTCTACATACCACCTTGTATCTTCTAAAAGCCCATTCATTCTACGGGATCCAGTTTGAACTCATGACCTGTTTATGAACAAGAGTTGAATTCAGACAATAATCTGTGGGGTTCAGAACTTCAGAGTTATCGGTTAACCCCATCCACGAACAGAATATTACCATAATGGCTGGAAGTGGCTGAGCTATGGTACAGTCAATAGGAGGAAGCAAGTCAGCAGAGGATAGATAAACTGCACAGAAGAATAAAATTAATAAATTATACTCATAACTTATAAGATAAGATGAGAAAAACGCACCTGATTGATGGCGCCACCGACATGGCTCTCGTGTAGATTCGCAGAAAGAAAGCAATGGAATGTGTTAATGTCGTAGAGGTGAGCAAGCGGGTGATCAGTTCCTGTTACAAGGGGAGGGGGGGACAAAAAAAAAAAAACAGAAACAAACCACCACTTGTCAACAAGCACTTATCAGCTACAGCAGGTCCACCATAACTTCTGTGACGAAAAGTTGAAAACCTACTTGCTGATTCCTCCTTGAACATTCTCCCGGGTCTCCCTATATGCTGTAGTACCCGAATGATCTGTCCAGTATTAGCTGGCCAGATTTCAGTTTCCATATCCGAGGAAGGGTATTTTACTATTTCTTGCCTCTCGGACACAGTTTCCCAAAACAAGCTCGGATTTGTACTCTATGAGAAATGCAAGAAATAACCATTCCAAAAGTCGGTAATAAAAAAATAGCACGTCTTTTTAGAGTTGTTCGGATTTCTGAACAACGGGAGGCACCTCCGTATTCAGGCCTGGACATCCGGGTCCAGATATCGAGCCTGGACAGCCAAAAAACATAGCCATCTAGACAATAATGTTATGATCCTGGTCATTTCCCAAGTGCAAATTCACAATGAAAGACAATGCCACCCAATTGCGAAAGAAATGAAAGCACTTGCAAGAGATAAAGACCAGAGGAGAGGTAAAGAAGAAGAAGAAGTACACCAGCAAGACCAATGACAATTCCCCCTTCTCTCTCCACCTTCCTCCTTTCTCCTTCTCTTCACCAATCTTATTCTTCTCTCAACAATAATAATAACAATGAATGGATGAACCAGAATCAATGTCCGAAGTTCCCCCTTACTGCTGACTCAACTCACAACCCAACAACAACAACAACAAGTCCACCATGGCTATGTCTTCCTTCCTTCAACCTCCTCTCTCAAGCATAGGTCATGGAGGACTACTGGAAGGCAGCTATGATGCTGCCCTGATGCCCGAAAGACAACCCAAAGCAGCTATGTCGCTGCTTGACTCGGTCCGCTATGCCTGACCCTGCGTCTAGCTGCCCTGGTGCAGCGTTACCCCAACCGAGGCCTTCCAGATGCAGCGCCCAACAAGGTGATGAAGACGGTGTCCACCATAGCCAGGTAAGTGCCCTACCACTCTCCTACCATGTCCCCCTTCTTCCTCCTTCAAGCTGGGGTGCTCGCCATAGCCAGGCTGAGCCCCAGCAGACCTTCACCTCCAAGCAGCGCTGCGCTCCAGCAGCATGTCGCCAATCCTTGCATACCGCAAATGAGGAAGAGCTCACCGCTCCTCCTGAAGATATAGCGGCCTACCGGCCTCCTGGGCGGTGACTTCCTAGGCCAAGCGGCCTCCCAGCAACCGGTACCTCCTCCCTTTTGGAGGAAAAAATCATTGCAGGCTCTGTTATTGTCCGCACAGGCCCTAGATCCGGGCTACTTGGACTGGTACCGGCCTACCTCTAACCTACCGCTACTGGGCCTCTAAAAATGCCAACTTTTTGTCTTCTTCTGCTCGGCCTACCTGCTACTTGAGTGTTTTTCCCCAGCTGCTCTAAGTGCCGTGGGCCTACTCCCCGCTACCGGCATGTTTACCCCCCTGCAACCCTCCAAAGTCACGGCCACAGGYAAGTACCGGCCCGGTGGGCCTTGCAACCAACAAGTACCCTGGCGGGTTACACACATACTCAACCAGCAAGCACTCAGACAGGCATGCAACCCAGCAGGCACACACACACACACATCCGGCAAGCACTCAGACAGGCATGCAAACCAGCAGGCACGCACACACACAGACTTGGGACCACAGCAGAATGCGGGAATCACAGCAAGGCATTCATTCCATTGGCAAATCCCAGAAATCAGCAGTGTTCTCAGTCTGTGTTTTGGGCGGGTCATTACATTACTCCCCTCTCGAGAGCGAGGTCCGTTCGAGCGTCTAACTCAGTCAGAGTCGGCACAGAAGGCGTCATAGGCATAGATAAAAAAGAGAGTGTTAGTGAGTCCGAACGGAAGTGATTTTTGCAGCAAACTTAGTGGTCTGTCTGTCAACAATCTGTCGTTCATATGCGTTTACAACACGTGGAGCACTCTTTATCAATTCTTTCCGGTCGATCCAGAAGAATTCGTTCAACGGGTGGTAGAGGAAATGAACTTTGTACTGTCTGTTCCTTCTCCCCTCGTGAGAAACGATTATGTCAATCTCATGGCCGCCGTCAATAGGGCGAGGTATCATAGGATCACGGAAGGGAAAAGTCTCATCATCAATGTGTGGGAACAGTTTGGAGGCATGGAAGACTGGATACGTGCGCAGATGAGGAGGCGCGTCAATCACATACGAAGGGTTGAAATCATCCCCGACTACCTGCAGAATCTGCCAAGGGCCATAGTACAGTGGAAGAAGCTTCCATGATATGCCCTCTTCATCAGAAAACTCAGACATTTTGACCCAAACATAATCCCCTACTTTGAACTTTTCTTCTTTCGCCGCTTATTGGCATGTTTGATCATGGCATGCTGGCGCTTGTTCATATCTGCTGTAGCAGCTTTGAGCAAGCGTGCGTACTTGGCATTGTAGCCAGGCATGCTGGGCATCAGATCAGGTGACCGTTTAGGGAACAGATAGGAGAGGGGATTACGCATCGGCCATCCATACTGCAATTGGTTTGGTGTCACACCAGTCGCAGAGTGAATGGAGTTGTTGTACAGCCCCTTCACTTTGTGCAATTCCTTGTCCCATGTGTTCTGATCTGGAACAATTAGTGCGCGAAGCAATTGGATGACAGTCTGGTTGATCTCCTCAGCCAATCCGTTGGCTTCGGGGTGACGACCAGAAGTCCTGTTCAGTTTGATGTCGTAGATCTGAGATGTGAAGTCTTTCCAATCTTTGCTGATGAATCTGGTGTCCTGATCACTCACAGTAGTTTTCGGGACGCCGGACTGCAGAATGTACTGCTGATGGAATTCTTCTATGACAAGTTCAGTCGGGGCGTGAGGAGGGAGAGGAATCAAGTTCAGAAATTTGGAGAAGCGGTCCACAATGACCATGACTTGTGAATTCCCAGCCTCACTCACCTTTCCCATGTCCGTGAAGTCGATGGAAATCGACTCGCCGGGTCCATCAGGAATGGGAAGAGGTCTCAGTAGGCCAKAAGGCTTWTGCCTGTGAACCTTGATCCTTTGGCATACTTKACATTCAGCAATAAATTTCTGAGCAGATCCTTTCATTCCTGGCCAGTCAAATTGTTGCAGAAGACTTCCATAAGTCTTCTCAAAGCCAAAATGTCCACTCCGACCGTGCGSCAKATCCAAGAAGTGAGTTCGGAGAGGCGCATGGTTGGGTACACACAAACGGTCAAACTTTCCGTACCGGCGAAATACAAGACCCTCGCATTCATGAAAATCAGGCTGACTGTTGGGGTCAGCCTTGAGCTGCTCAAGGATGGGACTAAGGTACGGATCCTTGGCAGTGTGCTCGACCAGATCCTCCTTCAGTTTCCTCCGGAGGTCGTACAAGTCCACAAGGCAAGTCAAATACTCGGGATGGCGCGACAGAGCATCAGCAACACGATTATAGCAGCCTTTCTTATGTTTTAGTTCAAAGTTGAAAACATCAATATCATGCAGCCAGCGGGTCAGAGTTGGAGAGAGGTCAGTTTGTGTCTTAATCCATTGCAAGGTCTGATGATCTGAATAGACCTTGAAGTGGCGACCCAAGAGGTAGTGCTTCCAATGCGTGAGCGCCTCGCGCAAGGCGTAGAGCTCCCGCATGTATGTGGAAGTGGCTACCTTGTGCTTCTGCTCTGCCCTGAGGGAGAGGTAGGCAGAGCTCTGAGTTAAAGGAAGATGAGATGAGGGTGAGAAAGAAGACTTCCACGGCTATGGGATAGTGGTAGTACAAGGGAGTAGACCGAGGATATGGAGGTTGAGGTAGAAGAACATCAAACTAGGCTATGAAGGGACGTGGAGGGAGAGAATAGATGTAGAAGAGGAGGAACAGGGGGAGAACAGACGAGAGAAATTTACCTTTGGCTATGGTGGGACCTTCACCTCCAATTCCTTGGTTGGTGCTGCATCCGGAAGGGCCCCTGTCGGGGTACCAGTTGGACATGGGACTTCATCCACAAGTGTGGCTGTGGTGGAATGACACTGGAAAGGCATGATAGTGTTCGTTAAACATCCATGCCGACATGGATGAGCAGCCATAGCTAGATACACAATCTTGAGGAGCTCAGCGAGAGTAAGGCCTAAAGGAGAGCTCTTTGAGGTTGCCGGCCGAAAGCGGGATAACTCGACATTGATTCTTGAGAAAGGATTTCACCGATATCCGCCCTGGTCGCTGGCCCAGTTCCAGTCCCAACTCCCAGTTCAGTCCCAATCCTGGTCCCATGTAGCATATTGCCATGCCCCAGGTAGGTGTCCCAGATAGGGCCCCATAATCGTAGGCCGTTGCAGGTAAAATTCGGTAGGTACCGGTGGTGATAGAAAAGTCAGTAGAAGCTGTGTTAAACTCCGGACCATCCGGTGGCCAGACCTTCGTCTGGCAGGGGTCCCAGGCAGCCCAGCCGGTTGGGTCCCCCGGTTTGGGACCGGGCGAGCCCAGCGCAATTTCGCAAGGGGAGGGGGAGGCTTTTTTTGGCCAGTGGTCGCCTCCCCAGCCTCCAGCAACACTATTTTTTTCTGGTTTTGATCTAGGACTAGTTTTAGGGGGGATGGGAAGGTCTTCTTCGGCGACTGATCCCATGGCCGATCTGCAAAGATCAGCGGTTGAGATCATCCACCAAGGAATGGGTTCCCCCTTTGGCGGGCTACGACACCGTGTTCGAATTCGAACGCGGTATTCCCCATTGCAAAGCCCGTCGTTGCTGCAATTGCAAAGCCGCCCGTCGTCATTGCCGTTGTGAAGCCCGCCCATCGCCGCTGCCGTCGCGAAGCCCGCCCGTCGTTGCTGCTCGTCGTTGCTCTCCGTGCCCTCCCCGTTGTCGCTGCCCATGAAGCTTCTGTCCCCATTGTGGTGAAGACTCCTCCACCTCTTTCCTTCCTCTTCTTCTTCTTCCTCTCCTCCTCCTCCTCCTTTCGTATTCATCTTCTCCTATCCTCCTCCTCGTCCTCCTCCTCCTCCTTTCCTCCTCTTCTCCTCCTCTTCTCCTCCTCCTCCTCCTCCTTTCACCTTCTCTCCTCCTCCTCCTCATCGTCCTAATTTCATTGGTTTTCTTTATTGTCCTCTCCTCCTCCTCCTCTCGTCTTCCTCTTCTTCTCTCCTCCTCGTCCTCCACCTACTTTTGTCTTCTCCATCTCTCCTTCTCCTCCTCCTCCTCCTCCTCCTCCTCCTCCACCTACTTTCGTCTTCTCCTTCTCCTTCTCCTCCTCCTCCTCCTCTCTTTTTTTTCCCCCGTAATCCCCATATATTACCGGTAGGTCCTCCTCCTCCTGCTCCTCTTCCTTCCTCTCGTCGTCTTCTTCTCTCCTCTTCCTCCTCCTCCTCCCGTCTTCTTCTTCTCTCCTCCTCCTCCTCCTCGTCTTGTCCTTCTCTCCTCCTCCTCGTCTTGTCCTTCTCTCCTCCTCCTCCTCCTCCTCCTCCTCTCGTCGTCTTCTTCTCTCCTCCTCCTCCTTTCCTCTCCTCCTTCCTCCCCTCCTCCTCCCCCTCCTCTCGTCTTCTTCTTCTTCGTCGTCACCTCCTCCTCCTCCTTTCATCTTCTTCTTCTTCCTCCTTTCTTGCTCTTCCTCCTCCTTATTTTTCTCTCCTCCTCCTCCTTTCCCTCCTCCTCCTCGTCTTCCTCCTCCTCCTCCTTTCGTCTTCTTCTTCCCTCCTCGTCCTCCTCGTCCTCCTTTTGTCTTCTTCTTCCCTCCTCGTCGTCCTCCTCCTCCTCCATATCTTACCGCTCACCATCTCGCACATCCGCCAGCCATATCCTACTGCGTGCTATCTCCCGTTCGCTTTTTTTTTTTTTCCTGCCCCCCAAAAAAGACGTAAGCGGGCACACAGCATCTCCATTCACAACCGCACATACTTCTTCTTCTTCTTCTTCTTCTTCTTCTTCTTCTTCTTCTTCTTCTACTACTACTACTACTACTTCTCCTTCTAATTCTAAGAGAGAGAGAGAGAGAGAGAGAGAGAGAGAGAGAGAGAGAGAGAGAGAGAGAGAGAGAGAGAGAGAGAGAGACAAGCTTGTATGCAGGAGTGCAGACACTGCAGACTCAGTGCAGAGAGTATTTTTGGCTTCACTTCTCATGCATGCTTTGTGTGTGTGCAATCTGGCACGAGAATCGCCTGAGCTGTGTGGCACATCGTTGGTTCAATTCACTTGTTCGTTCATGCACTTATTAATTGTAATTGGTTGTTTATGAGAGGATTAGATCTGAGTGAGCCCTGCACAGGTTGCAATCATCCTACCCCCGCCAAAAAGAGGGAAATGAAATGCCCTTGAGCCATAATTTTGCAGTAGGACTACGACATTTGGTGATTTGATCCATGGCCAAAAGCCGAACCTAACAGCCCAACTGGGCACCTCCTATGGACCTACTTTTGGCTTAAGTCTTAGTTTGTTTTTGTTTCCTTTCTTTCAGGTTGTGTCCTGTTCTGTTCTGTTGTACTGTGCTTGGCTCTGTCGCCGGCGGTAGTCCGAGGCTGGAGTCGAACGACTGGAATGTGCGGCTCTGTCCCTGTTCTATTTTGTTATGCTTCGAATATACTTTTCTGCGAACAAAATGAACCCTGATCTCTACGCTGCCTATGTACACAGCTCTGCCTCCCCCTTCACCCTACTCCGTCACCCCAGCGCCTAGGCACTCCCCAAGCCTCGTGCACAGCCCTGTACCTCGGAGGTATGCGCATTACACTCATATATACCACTCATAGGTAATCCACATGCAGGAGCACAGGAGAAGCCCCTGCACAAGTCAGACTGTTAATAATAGATTGCAGGAATGACAAAGAGATGCGAAGAGGGCACCTCTGGTTATAGGTGAAAGGAGACATGGTAAGTATAAGTGTCTTACTGCTGACCAAGTTTCATTGGTCGCCAATTTATCGTGGAAAAAGACCGGTGTCAGATTCTAGTTCAGATACTCACACTCATGCCGACACCCACCAAAATGCACTCGGGAAGGGCTTGTATCGGTGAAAATCTCGTTCAGGCACCAACCTTAAGCATTATAATCTTAGCTTACCTGATTCTGTGCACACCTCCGCTAAACCACACCCATGGAGTGCATAGCAGGCACCCTTGTATGAGCTGTTTGCCTGCCCGGCCAGGCAAAGGGAAAGTCGTGAGAATGGTATCTATTAGGACGGTGTAAGCTGTCTTGCCTTTCACAGTTTCACTGCTTATGGCGTTGGAATCTCTGTGCAAAGTCTTGAGATCCAACGACAGGCATTGGCGGGTGGAAACCTTTTCCAGTGTCATAACAGGCCACTGCCAGACCGCTACCGGCGCAACTTGCAGCCCCACATAGACTGCTGCAGCTCATGGTCTCCGTCAGGAACAGGGCCAGTTCAACGTCAAACTCGTCAGCCACTCAGGTGCCAGCTAGATCGAAGGACGGGCATTGCCGGCTGGAAACTTTTTCAATTGCCATAACAGGCCACTGCCAGACTGCCAGACTGCTACCAGTCCAACTCGCACCTGCACACATACAGCTGGTTATGGTCTCCGTCAGCAACGGTGGCAGTTCAACTTCAAACTCAGCAGCCACTCTAGGAGCAGCACAAAGAAGAAAGGGGCAGAATGTCGTGCCGTACTGACGTTGTGCTTCATTGGCATGAACCACAAAACCACATAGAGAAATTACCAGAAATGGCATGATAACATAGGGTTCATACACAAGGAGATTGTTATGATCGTTATTGTGTCCACACTGAAGAAATGTGACAAAGTCTTCAAATCATTGTCCAATGCTTGAATCAAATGCCTTGTGGCATGATCAAAGCAGATGATCGTAAACTTTGTCCTCCTCCACGCTGTCAAATGAAACAATCCATGGAATCCTTAATTCATCACTTTAAGCTTTACACGGAGGGTGTGTCGGTACCAGCTTCTTCTACGTACGTCTGTGTAGAAGCACCCAAAGGAGAATTTGGTGTATATTTAGCCAGCAACGGAACCAATCATCCTTATCGTTGTAAAATTCGAGCACCTGGGTCTGCTCATTTACAAGGGCTTCATTATATCCTATACGTCGGTATCAGCACATGCTCGCAGAAGTGCCATCAATTGGATAGTGAAAGAGGCATCTAAAGAAATCACGCTTATAAGAAACCTATCAAAGGTTCGATAACTTCCAACAGGACCACATTTTCTGAAACCAGGGTATAAGGAGGAGATCGGCTGATGAGAATAATCCAGTGGAGGGATGGATGTATATATAGATTGCTGGATCACTGCAACAGACGGATGGCTAGATGGACGGAGAAGGCCGCCAGCGGCACAGCCTCGACCAGTGAGGCATCATAATCATGGCATGATTGATGTGAGAGAGCCTTGGAATACAGGGGGATTGAAAAGGGACCTGCCAAAACAAAGTCGCCGCATGGGTGGAACGCCACTGATCTTACGTTATGTGTGTCCTGTCCAAGTGAAAATGCACCCCACCCCACCCCACCCCACCCCACCCCGACCCATGCCATACCACACCACCCTGCCCCACACTACTCCACCCACCTCACCCCATTCCCCACAGCCATCCAACTCCACCACCCATACGCAACATCCAGCCCCCAAACGGCAGTTAATCCATGGTGGCCAGCTCACCCAACACATCACATCCACTTGGAAGTATAAAGCTTGAAGCATTGTCTCTATGAGGTTGTACCATAGAGGTGTTCATAGACGGTACATAGTACATTCAGCAATTTACCATCTACTAAATAGACATAGTACATTCAGCAATTTACTATCTACTAAATAGACATAGTACATTTACTTAGTAATTTACTATTACTAATGAATAAGGCTGGAAGACTATGAAAGTACACAGTACAATTGACAAAAGGCCAAGACAAAGGAACCCAGCACTAGCTTAACAAAATATGGGGAAGGATGTGTCTACATTGATATTTGCTATCACACCTTCAGACACCAACTACTTGCTAGTGCAGGAAGAGTCTATGTGCTGTCTCAACTTCCCCGACTGGCCCAATAGGCCAGCAGCTCAGGGCCAGCAGCTCAGGCTCAGCTAGAATAGGCCAGGTCCACCTAGTGTCAACTTCCAATGGGTATATGACTTCATCGGTCCCCATACAAAAACCTCTATTGCAAAATCCCGAGGCACCAAACACCAGGTAACCTGGTAATAAGTAGATCACTTGTTCTTTTTTCCATTTTCTCGGAAGCACCTAAAGCTCAGGCTCAGCTAGAATAGGCCAGGTCCACCTACCGTCTTCACCCAAATAGAATGCCCAGTCATTATAGCCGTATTTGGCACACCTTTCCGCCCAGATACAGCGATAATTACCGGGCGTTCTATTCGGGTGAAAACGGTAGTGTCAACTTCCAATGGGTATTTGACTATACAAAGAACCTTTATTGCAAAATCCCCATAACCTGGTAATAAGTCGATCGCTTGATTTTTCCCTCTTCTGGGAAGCACCTAAAGCAGCCCAGAGGCTGCTCTGGTCTCCGTTTTACGCATGCTACCTAATCCAGGCCACCTAGAAATGAGCACAATGCTACTCAGGTTCCGAACTGAACCCCGAGTCACGTGAACTTCACAAGGCACTCAGAGCTGAGATAGTCCACTTAAAGAAAACGCCTCTTCTATCGCAGGCTCTGCAAGGAGAGGCCACTTGCTCCCACTAACTCCAGGCCACCTGGAAATGAGCACCGCGCTGCTCAATTGAGTCCCTTGTCTCTTGAGTTGCACAAGTCTACCAGAGGTGAGCTAATACACTTGAGGAGAGCTGCACTGCTCACAGGCTATGTTAGGAGAGGCAGTTAATTCGCTTCCGGCGAGCTGCACTGCTCACAGGCTATGTTAGGAGAGGCCACCTCCTCTCACCACTAGTGCTTGCCTGCATTGCAATCGAAGCTTGTCTAGTTACCTTCAAGAGACTGTGCTACTCACAGATTAGGTCAAGTGGGGCTGCCAGCTGTGACCACCCGTGCTTGCCTGAGTATCCTCTTGAGGGCATGGAAGCGACACAGAAATGGTACGGGAGAAGGCTTGAGGAGCCTTATTCAATAGCACAAGGAGGCCGAAGGTCCATTTCTCCTTGAGGAACCCTTGGTAAACTAAAGTCTACATGGAATTTCCAATAGCGCCCAATCGACCACTCCGACATCTTTCCACTCGAGCATTTTTTTTAAAGTCGGCGGTATATCTGTTTCAGTGTTCTCGCTTGACTCTGACAAAATTACGAGTGTGAGAGAGAGGAAGAGGTTATAGACCATACCGGAAACTTCACGGAACGTTTCAGTACTTTCTGTGACATGGAGACAGTTACAAGCTGTGCTCTTCTAGGAAGATGAAGATAAAGTTTTTTTTTTTAAAACAAATTCAATGAGGTTATTTGAGATATGCCCTTCTAAATTCTAATGGCATTTAAGAACTCTCAGGTGAGAGGAAGAGGGAGTGGGAAAGTGGTTTGACAGCGTGCTCCATTCGTCTCTTCTGCTCGTCCGTTTTTTTTCAGTGCTTGAATCCCTTCTCTCCAGTTGTTGATGAAATCCCACTGTTATTCAACAATACTATGGAATAATGTGCACCATACATGAGCATGGGTGTGATCATCTGTGAGTGCAAAGTAGAGGGTGCATGCAAATGTAATATCATACTAATATGTAAAATTATGTATACTTTCTTTTGCCAAGGACAACATAGCGTACCACATACATGGTGTCGTTATCTACCTTCCTCCCTGTGACCCCTTTAAGATATCACAGGGGTCTTCCCTCTCTACCCTTCTCACAGTGATAACTTTTATATGGAGGGTTTATTTGAACTTTAATCTTCAGAGTTTTGGGCTGAAGCCAAGAACAATCCACTGGCCTGTTAGTCCTAATCCTCTCTCAATCCAACCACCTTCCTCAGAACATAAGGAATGGCAATTTTTGGCAATTTTTATAATGTATCTGGTCCATAATCTGGGACGAAAACTGCTCAAAGACAGCTGTAGCCTATAGTGACCACCTGTTACATTCCGAGGAAGACGGTACTGCAGCAGCACTTGGCAGAGGTCAGCAGAGCAACGTTTGCGAACAAATTTATGAAGACGGTAGAAAACCTACATTCACCTAATTTTGCGAGGATATGGGTCCTCGGCAGGCCTAAGAGGGCCCTACTGCGGATGTGCCCGCACTAAGTGAAGGCGGGCCTAACAAATCACGAAAGGCTCTCAGCTGTCAATTTCGTATTTGGGGGTCCAGGTAGTTTTGACGCGCCAGTTGGTTGAGGGAAAACACAGGCCGAGCAGCAGCACATTCCACGAACTTCTGGGCCTTTCCGAGAATGCAGGCCCTCGGCGAGAATCGCAGCCTCATACACAGACAGTTGTGAGGCCCAACCGTAAGAGGCCCAGTGGCTGCAACAAAAGGCAGCATCCTGGGGCCTACCGGAGGCTTCTGGGCCCAGGCCAGTCCAGCCAGGCTGCGAAGGCAGGAGGCTCTTTCCATACAGGAAAGAGCTCGCCAGGGGAAGCCTCATGCAGGTACTCGCATGCTAGTGGCAGCGCTGCTGGAGTGGACGCTCGTGGGCTGCTGCTGGCGCTGAGAGGCGAGGTGCAAGCGCGTGCGGGTCGTGCAGGAAGTAGGGCACTGCTAAGGGCAGCGCCATAGCCCAGCCTCCATAGCTGGTTGGGCTTGGTTGTACAGTGAGGCGCAGGGGTGGTCTTCGGGTGTACAGAAGGGAAGAGAGGCGAATAACGGGAGTTGAACCCATGTTTTCAAATTCACAATCTGACACTTTGACCTATTAAGTTATATTCGTCGTGGTCCCGACTCGCTCGAATATCGTAGTCAAAGAAATTGGCGAACAATCACCAAAAAAAACAATAAGACGAGGGAGAGAGAGAGAAGGATGATGATGATGATGATGATGATGATGTGAGGGCACATACCTGGTATTGGCGATGGTCTGCATCGGCGACATCTTCAAGTACTTCGGAGGCTGCTGACGTAGGCATCGGTTCTTGATACCGACATGCAAAGGTTCGAATCCTTCAGTTGTATTGTCAATTAGTACGCAGAGAGTAGCTGTGTAGGAAGTGGGCTGGGCGCCAAGCGCCAAGTAGGGAGATAGGGCCTGGACACACATGTTGGTGGTGGCGAGAGCAAGCTCTCATTGACATTGGTTTTCGGTGTTACGAATGTTCATTGGTGTTATATTGGTGCATTTCTGCTTTCTGGACAGTGTGATACTATCTGGCCTTCAATGTGATTGTGCAATCTGCTTAGTGTCATCTCGCTATTGCTCATTTTCCTTGCAATTTGGTATTGTTATTGCTCATTTTCCACTCCAGGCGTTGGCCAGGGCTAGTGACCCACGTATCGCCCAGCAAACACATTCAGACCCACCAACGCTTTGTTCGAGAGATGTGTCTGAGTCCCTAGAGGAGTTAGAGACTGAGTGGTCAGGGAAGGACCCTAGAGACTCTTGGGCGATGATCAGTAGAGGTCCTAAGGGTGAACATTTCGTGGTAGAGGTCAATGTATGTGGCCGCAAAGTGGGCGCCTTCGCAGACATGGGCTCTACACGAAACTTCATCAGTCGTGCTTCTGTGGATAGCCTGCGCTTAGGGGACCAAGTGCAGCGGCTTAGCAGAACTGTAGCTTCTACGCTAGCCAACAAGCACCAAATGTTAGTTAAAGACTATGTCAAGGACGTAGTATGTTCCTTCTCTTATGGAGGAGGGGAAGTGAGACAAAAAATTTCATTCCTCGTTAGCGACGAACTGCCCTTTGATATGCTACTAGGCATGCACTACCTCGAGGTCGCTCAGCCTCAGTTTGATTGGGATAGAAAGGTGTTGTTACACAAGTTGCCAAATGGTAGGACCGTTAGACTGCAGAAGTATAAGGCTAGCAGTCTAGCGGAAAACTACAGCTGCATGTGTGCCTCCTCCTTCTATAACTACTATAAGCAGAATCGCGAGGAGGGCATGAGAAAGGGGAGGCCGTTAAAACACCTGCAGAGATAGAATCAGTCGTTGCACAATATTCAGACCTTTTTTAGGAGCCCACAGGCGTGGTAGAAAGGGAGGTGGTCCATGCAATAGAGGCTGTCCCAGGTAGTAAGGTACCCAGAGGACGAATCTATAAGAATTCCTCGTGCGGAGTTGGATGAGCTCCGCCGCCAGCTCAAGGAGCTCACAAAAAAGGGATGGATTTGGCCGAGTACCTCCCCTTACGGTGCGCCAGTTTTATTTGTCCCAAAGAAGGGGGGTACACTAAGGATGTGCATTGACTATTGGGGCCTCAATGCCATCACCGTTAAGAACGCGGAGCCCCTACCCCGCATCGACGACCTCTTGGAGAGAGTGCAGGGATGCCGGTACTTCACAAAGATTGATCTGAAGTCCGAATACCATCAAATTGCCATTAGACCTGAGGACCAGCACAAAACCGCTTTTCA